ATTACAATAAGTGAAAATGAATATATTTCATTATGAAATTATTATGTCCCACATTTTCATAAGGTTTTTAAAATGTTAATAGTAACAGTTTGTAAGTTAGAATATACGTAAATCAAATCATCTCTAGTTCTATAGAAATTTCCATGTAGTTTTACTGTATAGTTGCGGTTATATAGGTATATTTGTCTTTTAAAAAAGTAATATCAAACTAGCGTTCCAGAAAATACATTTTTTAATGTGTCAATAAAACTGTAAGTACTTATGGTGTCCTGCTCGTTATTTTACATAAATAAAGTATGTTGTTTTATATTTAACATGGTTCCTGTATATTGTGCTGGCTTCTCATTAACGTATTAAGTACTACCTCACATCACATGTAGGTGTAAAAATTGGAGTTTAATTAAATAATGTATACTGTATTAAATGTAATAAAATATCATTAAAAGATTTATAACAAACAGTATAGAATATATACAGTTTCATAATAAAACAATATAATATAGTTCACATATTTTTATATAATGTTAAAGTAATAAATCCTTTTCTTGTGGGAAATTTTCAAATTGTTTATTGACATATGCATCAGACACATCGCTTAGATCTTTTGGTTTCCATTTTGGATTTTGGTCTTTGTCTATTACAACTGCTCTCACACCTGCACATAGTCAAATTTGTATATAATGACAACATTAAAATTACTGTTTCTAGTTACAAATAAAAACTAAGAACTATAATTACCTTCATAGAAATCTGTAGTCTTACATATAGTCAAATTGCATGCTAATCTGTATTCCATTTTCAAACATTCTGCTAAATTCAGTGTGCTGCCTTTTTTCATAGCAAGCAAAGCAACTTTTAATGATGTTGGAGACATTTTCAACAATGTTTGTATGGTTTTTTCTGCCCATTCAGATTTATCCTCTTCCAATCTTCAAATTACGAAATAATTGAAATTCAATTAAAGTAGGTGTTATAGATAAATTACCTTTTTATTATTTCTTCCACTGATGATGCAGAGAAACATCTTTCAATTTGCTTCATATATGGTGCTAAAGCAAATTGTTTATCCAAATTTTTCAATTGATATTTGTTCAAAACTGTTGTAACATCAGGAAACTCGGATGTTAATAAATCTTGTTTTAACTGCGACAAATTCTCAGAAGGAACAATGTGAGTTGCAATACCAGCATGTAATACATCTATGCCTTCGGTAAAATGTTAAAATAGTATGAAATGTATAGAATTGCTTAAGTGACTAAATGGGATGAACTATATTACCTTTCAGTCGTTCTCCAGTTAATCCAAGATAAACGCCTAATCTTCCTTGCAATCTAGGTAAAAAATATGATCCACCAACATCAGGAAATAATCCTATTGCTGTTTCTGGCATTGCAAATAAAGTTTTTTCTGTTGCAACTCTATATTTACCATGGACAGATAATCCAACTCCACCACCCATAGTTATCCCATTCATTAAAGCCACATAAGGTATTATATATGTTCCAATTAAATGATTTTGGCTAGGTAAATATACAAGAAGTTGAAATGTGTAAAGACATTTATATAGGCATATTAAGTTCTTTTATAACTCACATATATTCTTTTCTAAAAAATGTTTCACGTAATTCTTTGTTTTCATCTGCTGCAAGGGCAATAGCTTTTATATCACCACCGGCACAAAATGCTTTTTCCCCCACACCTTCTATTACTACTAATTTTTTTGAAATTTCCCACTTTTTGAGTGTAGGATATATTTTCTCAATCATTGATAAATTTAAAGAGTTTAAAGCTTTTGGGCGATTTAATGTTATAATGCCTGTATTTCCAAACTTATTTTTAAAAAACAGATTATTAATATGATGAATGTTCTTACATTTAAATATTTTTATTGATATGAATATAAACTTTAAGATAATATATACTTACATCTTTTATCAATACATCTTCTTCATTGTTAGCTCCCACATCTTTGTGTGACGATGCATTTTTATTTGGTACTGGAATTTCAATAGGTGGTTTAGCTTCAGGTGCAGGTTCAGTTTGTGGATAGGATTGTGGAAGAGAAGGTTCAGCAATAGGGCCTATAGATTTGAGCATCTATTATATGATTAATGTACAATTTATCCAGTTATTCTTAACTCATAAGAATTAAATAACTAAATTTCTATGCTTTTATTGTTAATAATTATATAAATAATTTCTAATCTTGTCAATATTGCAATAAATATATCCTCTAAAAGACCTGGTACTTCTATTACAGGCACTTGCGTTGGATATGGTACTGTAGGATATGGTGATGAAGGCATTGGCTCAGTATTAGGTATTACAGTGGGCTTTGGATTTATATCATTGAATTTAGCATTTATATCCTCACCTACATTTGAAGTTTGTACTGACAAAAGTTTAAAACTATTTTTTGTTCTAGACCCAATATAACAGAGTTTTAGCGTACCGTTTTTAAACTAAAAAAAGAAATAAGTATTAATATTATTTATCATTAACTACATTTTATATATGATTAATAATTACCATTTTTGTCGGTTATTCTTTTGACTCCTACAATATGTAAACTGATATTATAAATTCGTCTCTCTCTCTCTGTCTGTCTGTCTGTCTCTGCATACAGTAAGATTTCTAAACAGAGTATCCGAATGTAGGTTATAAATTACGTATTACGCGGAAAATAGTTCTACTAATATTTCTACTTCTCAAATTTGCATTATTTTAGAAAAAAGTAATTATTAGTTTGAAATTGTGGGTGATTTTAAAGGCAAGTTTAGATGACTTTTATGTTACGCTCAATGATATTCATTATTTATTCTATACATAGTGGTCCAAAATATTTTCATTTCACATGATATAAAATTGATAACTATGTTTGATAGTGTGAAGTATTTCATGTTGTCAATTAATGTATTGGCAACTAAAGGCGCATGTCCATCTAAGAGTAAAACTCTCGACAGTTACTCTATAGTCTATAGTTTCGTAGCTCCTCCGTTAATCCGAAACTGATTTGTTTTATGAGAGTAGCTATCTGAAAGTGGCCCTGGAATATACATATGTACATCTCGAGCCTCGAGAGTCGAGAGTTTTATTTTCAGATGGACACATGCCCTAGTCTGGTAAATCTTCCAAACCAATTGGAATGGTCAATGTGTAACCAAGGTTACATACCCTTAATTCATGAGTTTAGCCTTGTTTGTAATAATCCAGAGAGTATAAGTGTATTTACTACTTTATATATATATTTCTACTGTAGGTGCTTAAATTCAACAAATAGCATCGTGTGCATTGTTGCGAGTGCAACTATACTACAAAAATATAGTTTCGTAGATTGATTAGCATGAATATTCTTCCGTATATATTTATTTTATAATTCATACCTTTTTATAATATGGATGATGACGTAATCTTGTTCGATATACTCTTTGTCATAGAAACTCTTGAAGAAGTAAATTAATTTTGATAATAGCCTGCCTTTCCCGGGGAAGTAATTATACAGGGATTAAATTAACCAAATTAATTTACCGAAAATTATGGTACTTCCGAGAAATGTGGAATTCCTCGTTAGGCTATTCTAGGTTATTCGAAATAACTTTTTCCTTAGTGAAAATGCAATCCGCGTCTGTATTTACCGAATTATTGACGAAAAACATTGACCTATGAGAGACGGGCTTGCCTAGCGCTAGATGGCCGAAGTAACGAGTGGATGAAGCCCAGTTCCGCTGATTGGCTCGGCCGTCTAGCACTAAACGAGCTTTCTTCTCATAGGTATTTTTCATTAATAACCCGTAAACAAAGCCGCGGATTGCATTTTCGCTGAGGAAAAAGTTACTTGAAATGATCTCAAGAACCCCACATTTCCCAAAAGTACCTTAATTTTGGTACATCATGTGTAGTACATTCGTGATCTTTGCCACAAGTATTGCCAATATACATATATATTTAGTTTTGTACAACGGCCGAACTTACAAGGCTATTTCAATACATGTGATTAGTACTGTGTCATAATGGGTTTCATAAGATTCAATAACTATGTTATAAATCGATGCATATCAAATACACACAAGTGTAGTGCTCGAAATTTCAGTTTTGATTCGCTTAAGAATGCTTTCGCAAACTCTTTTCGATTCCAACCCCAACCGTCAACACCGCCTTATAGTCACATTTGTCAACTTGGCGACCCTGTTCTACGGATGAAATCGACACCATTGGATCTTAAATTAATAGAAACGCGCAAATTTCAAACGGTAATTTCGTATAACTGGATGTATAACAATTATTATGTTGTCTTTGTTATATGAAGTAGTGGGGATATAGTTCATATTTAATGTCACAGATGCTTGATCAATTAAGAGATGTAATGAAGAAGTACCAAATGGCTGGACTGTCAGCACCACAAATTGGTATTCCTTTGCAAGTATTTGCCATAGAAATAAGAGAACATTATATTAAATTAATTGATCCAAGAATTAGGGAAGCCCTACGAATGGAGCAAGTTCCATTAACATATTTCATTAATCCAACCATGGAGATAACAAATCCAGAACAAGTAATGTTTACTGAAATGTGTGGCAGTGTTTGTGGTTATGAGGCGGATGTAAAAAGAGCAAAAGGAGTTGAAATCAAAGCTTTAAACCGACTTGGGATTCCATTTTCTTGGAAAGCTGAAGGATGGGTAGCCAGAGTGATACAACATGAAATTGATCATTTACAAGTAAATAGTATTTGTATTGTTATTTTGTTAACCGGAATAGGATCTACAATATACACACTGTCAAAGCAATGATAATTACATTAATACTACACACGACATGAGTATTAATTAGTAAAATTATCGTAGCATTGTTTATGTGTCATATTTTTTGACAGAAATAATCTTGACGATGTTGCATTTATTAATAAGTAAATTGGCATTTTTGCGTTTACACGATCGGTGTACGAATTTTTTTGAATTTGACACGCATGCGCGTGTATTTAAAATTGTCACCTTGCAGTTATGTTTCGTGAATTTCATATATGTGTACGTTAAGCACCGTTCCTCTTGTTTTCTTAATTTTTTAGATTCATAACAGAAAGGATAATTATTAATAAGATTTTTGTAATTAATGAGACTGTTTTTGTATAAGATATTTTATTGTTTCATGAAAACAATATCTGAAACGTCGTATAATGCATTTTCTTGGTTATCTGGTTGATGGAAAACAATATTCCTAAGGATTAAGAAAAAACAGGTGAATATATTATTTATATATATCTACATATTCTTTTAATTTCAGGGTATACTTTATATTGATAAAATGGAACCATCAACATTTCAATGTTCTATGTGGGAAAATATAAACATAAATAAAGGAAAAGTAGTACTGAAATATTATGCAAAATAATTGCAATAGGGATATATAAAATAATTCGTACAATATTGAAAGGATTGTCATTACCAGTATAATCGTCTGATTATCTCCGAAAAAATAGGTGTAATGTGAAACAT